TTGGGGATTGGTTAACTTCACTTAGCATTATCTTCTCTAACTCCATCCATTTACCTGCAAATGCCGTGATTTTATTCTCTCTTATTGCTGAGTAATATTCCATTATGTATATATCCACATTTTTTTATCCATTCATCTATTGAAGGATGTCTAGTTTGGTCCCACAATTTAGCTATTGTGAATTGTGCTGCTGTAAACATTGATGTGGCTGTGTTAGTATGTGTAGGCTCTATATTAACCTCACAGATTGTTTTTTTTTGCTGAGAAGAAACTTTTTAGTTTGAATCCATCCCATTTATTGATTCTTGATTTTGATTACATATTGGTGTGAATATACTATGTATATAACCAGAGATATGAAAAATCATGCTCTATATAAAGAATTGTAATGCATTCTGCTGCTATATAAAATAAAACAAAGAAAGGGGAAAATGTAATGTATCTTACAATGGAATATTATGCATCATCCTTAGTGAGTGAAGTACTGCTATATGTTACAACATGGTTAAACCATGAAAACATTATGCTAAGTGAAATTGTAATCACTTAGATTATGTTATTCCATTTATGTGCAGTATTCGGAGTAGGCAAATCTGTAGAGATAGAAGATAGATTAATGGTTGCCTAGAGGTGGGGGGTGGGATGAGCAGGGAAGAAAATGGAAAGTGACCTGTAGTGGGCACTTTGTTTATTTTAAGGTGATTAAATATTCTAAAATGAATTGTCATGATTTATGTACAACTCTATAAATATATTAAAAAGTGTTAAATTATATACTTTAAAAAATAAGAGAGAGCCATTTGGATGAACCTGTATTCTTCAGTTTTAATCAATCAATCTCTCTACCCGCCCCCCCCCCCCACACACACACATGCACCAAGTCTTTATAGCAGTAAGAACTCAGCCTTCCTTATCTGAAAGAGCATTAGGCTATGCCTTTATTTACTTCTTCCCAGCAAAAGGATATTGTTAACAGAAGGTATCCCTCCAGCTGCTCTTTAGTCTGCAGAGAAACTGAGGCATTTGCAACACTGAGTCAGTTAGAGGCCATCACCCATGTGATGCTGGAGAAGAGATTAGATTTCTTAGGATGAATCCTTTTCTTAGGGTCATACTTGCACATTACTATTAACATGGATTTTTTAATTGTGTACAGAAGGGAAAGAGTTAAAATTTAACAAGTCAGTGATGACCAGTAATTTACAGAATATAATTAAAATAATTATAGCCACAAAAAACCCCTGAAATACATATGACCATTTTGACATCTAAAGCTATTATAAAGAAAATAAGCAACAGAGGAAATCTGGGTAATGGACTCTATGATATTCAATTCAAGGGCATTTATTTTCTTTTTGCTATAAAGATAAATGTTATTGAGCAAGACTAGATTAGCATGTTATGATGTAGTAGAAATAATCCAAGGTTAAATGTCATAAAGCCTCAGTTCTAATCCCAACATTGGGGCTTATTAGCTATATGAACTAATTAACTAGTATCTCTAGGTTTTATTTCTTTACCTTTAAATGAATATACTAGCATAAAGTATTTTATGTTTCTCTGATTTTAAAATACCATGATTCTTTACTTTCTATCTCTGGAGTTAGATTTTTTTAAAAGCAGATTGATTTTACATTGTAAGAGGACAATACAGTTCACTCAGGCTTTTAAAGATTTTTATACTTGGAAGTTGAGCATACCAATTTTAGAAGATTCATTATTTGGGAATGAGTTTTGTATTTCTTTGGTGCTTAGGTTTTAGAGATTAGGCAAGAAGGTTTTTTTTTTTTTTTTTTTTTTTTTTCTTTAAAGTCTCCAGTGCTGGACTATTTGGTCAGACTTTCTTCAGTGTTCTATATCCATGCCATCCACTATAGTAGCTACTAGCCACGTGTAACTTTTAAGCACTTGAACTATGGCTAGTGAAAATGAAAAAATGAGTTTTTAATTTAATTATAATTACATTTCAGCTGTGATTAGGGAGTATAATATTAAACATTACGGTGTTATAGTATAAGTGTGTGTCTATACATGCACACGTGCATGTATTTGCATACATATGCATGCAGAGTAGGGAGTAGTATGACAGAAAGGAAGGAGAGTAAGAGACCTTTATATTGGATGAAGGAATCCTGTCCATGTTACTGCTCAGAATGTATGGATTTGGATTCCCCAATCCAGCAATCATTTTCTACTTTTGTGGATTTTTTATTCATATTTTATTATATATATGAATAACCTACTACTTTATGTGGTAGGCAACATGTTGTTAAAATAGTTCTGTTTTTCTAAGTTTGATATTCCTAGTATATCAAGCACAATGTACCCATTAAATTTATTATCTTACCTATCTTTAAAATCTTTTATTGGATCAATCTGTGAATGGAGTTTATGAGATGTCTGGATTATGTGCTGAAATTTTCTGTATTTGTAGTAAAGTGATATTATTTAAGAACATGAGTTTTCTCATTGCTCTCTGACCCCATGTAAGTTATTTATCTGCTTTTAGCCTTAGATTCCTCATCTGTGAAATAAAGATAATAGTAATATTTATCTCATATGTTTTTTAAGAGGATGAGATTAGATAGTGACTTATATGAAGCTCATACTACATTGTCTGGCATTTAATGATATTAAAACTAATGATGATGATGAAGAGTTGGGGTTTTGTACTCTGCTAGGAATTCAGAATTCACCCAATGGATATATTTCATATTCATAATTACATAATTGAATATTCTTTCCTATAAGTCAATTAGGTTTTTATTAAATTTTGAATTTGTAAATAGTGTTGTTATTCCAATTTTGAATTGATATTCTGTTTTCTGGAAAGGGCAGTAATTGTGACATAAAGGAATGAAGATAATTAGGTGACTTTTGTATTCCTCAAATTCATGCAGTATAAATATTTCTATAAAAGAGTTCTGTTCTAGCAGTGAAAATTGGAAAATGATGTGGTAATATTATGATTCATTGTGTTGTTTGTAATTAATTAGATGCCTATTAGAATTTGATGAACAATAAATGGTACATTGTCAAACTATTCCCTTTATTAAAGTACTGACTTGAAAGTGTCTCATAATTATTTTATACCATCGTCAATAAATTCATCATCCTTGTTCAACTATATATTAATATACTGTAGGTAAAATATTTAGTGGCATTGCAGTGTTATCTTATTAAATATAGTTATTTAGATGTTGGTATATTCATTAATTTTGACTTTTACTATTTTTACTGTTTCTTGGTTTAAATACTTTTATTTGTGCAAAGGTACAATTATAAGACTCATTAAGTTGTTTCTTATGGAAATGTTCTCTTTACTAGTTGGGTATTAATACAAGCCATTAAACTTGAATTTCTGGCAAAAACCATCATAGCAGATGGAAATTTTTCTCTCTATTAATTTTGGATTGGTCATGTACTTTGGCTTGTTTGGTCTTGTCATAGTTGTAATGTAACAAGAATCATTCAAGCAAATACAATGTTATAGTACTATACACAGGATGCAAACATATATCCTAGCCTATGAAAACAATATAAAGTCTTACACAATTTCTTATTTTAATTGTAAGGTTATATATTCCATTAATACATAAACTTCATAATAACTTGGTTGGTGTATCCTTGTAACATAATGCCAAGTCTATGAAAATATTTAGTTGTTTGAGTATGTTCTCCTGATATCTGAATATCTTAGAAACTGGACTACATTGTTCACTTATCATTTAGGTATAAGTAATGTTCTAAACATCCTTAGTTGTCTTCTTCAACTCCTTTAAAACATGCAGCTTTTGATTTTTTAATCTGGATGTGAGATAGAAGGGTTGATCTCCCCAAGAGCAGCTTTAGATATAAAATTAAAAGCAATGTACCTTTTTAATCTTCTCTATGTTAAAAAATTAACTCTATGTTAATAACAGGTCTAGAGAAGTCAAATGCATTTGAAATATATTTGTTAATGTGTATTTTCCATTATAACTACTTATTTATGTTTTTATTTATACATATTTAATATCTTTACTAAATTTGGCATTTTCCATGAATCCCCTAGAAGTCAGCTCTTTAAGTATTCTACTACCTATTACATATATTAAAAATAGTCAGTTTAAATGTGTACCTCTTCAATTAAACTATTAGCCAGTTGCCTTAGATTTTTATCAGCATTTTCTAAAAATGCTATTCAAGAATAATATATGCAACACCTGGAAATGAGCATTTTGCCAGTTCTCTTCTTGCTTGCAATTTCCAGATAAATTTCCTTTTGAAAGGAAATTTCAAAATCAGAAGGTTAGAAGAGCAAAATTCATTTTCTAATAGAAATATAATTAATGAAACATTTCTTTTGGAAACAAACATGTACACTTCATTATGCTGAACATGTTAGTATTGGTATCACAGTGCCTTCTAGTTGATCTTAACTCACTCACATTAATATTTTACACTAACCATGTTAATTCATTTAGTTACATATTTTAATACTCTATATATCCCAATAAGAGGACAGAAATAGTGTAAATCAGAGTAATTATTTTCCCAAGATGTTACTGTTCCCTGTTTGATAATAGGCTAATTTTATAACTATATTTGATTGATTTTAGAAAAGTATAACCATATAGAATTGAGGCCAAGTGCACTCTGAGGAAAGCTGGATATGAAAGATGCATTTCACGAACTTTTCAAGGGGCCCAATATGCACACTCTTTGAACTTTGGTTTTCTCAGAGGGAGTTTAATATTCTTTCATATTGTTCAGTAAAGCATAAAATACTTGATCATACACCACATTTTTGTTAGAATTATTTTGACATCAGAAACTTTATTGTTTCTTTGTTGTTCTTAATCTAAAGTCATAACCATCGTTATAAGTATTTGCATTTCTTGTTTTATAATATGTGTGTATTTTTGCCTTCAGTGAATGCATTTATCCAAATGCATTCAGTAAATATTTCCTTAATTTATTTGAACATATTTTTTAACAAATTTGCTTTCTTGTTTCAGGTGGCGTGCATGCAGTTTATAAATGCCCTTGTCACTTCTCCATATGACCTTGATTTCCGAATCCATTTAAGGAATGAATTCCTTCGTTCGGGACTAAAAACCATGTTACCAGTAAGTTTAGTGTGTATATTATGCTGATGAACTTTTAACAATTTTCTCTTTGGACAAAAGTATATTTTGAAATAACATACTTATGTGCCTTGCAGTTTTCTTTTGTGAAGCTTTACATGTTATGTAAGCTATTTTTCATTGCGGTAATGTCATTCTCAGTGTAGAAATCATGATTCCAAATTCAGCTAATGGTGTGCCCTGAAGTGATGTAGATTTTTTTTCTTCTTCAAGTCAAAAGGGAATTTCTTTTCTTTGAATTTTGAGAATATAGAAAACTAGTTTGTGTGTGCATACGCGTGTGTTTTTGTGTGTGTGCAGTCAATTTTCAATTAGAATTTTTTACTTTTTGATAACTTAGATTGCTCTCATTTGTATTCAAAATAAGTATGTATAGAGTTCTCATTAGTTTATTCTAGATGCATTGCTTAAGAATGGTGCTCTTGTAACAGTGCTTTAGGAACTTTTGTAAAGAAAAGTAGTTTTACTTCTTAATTGAATGTGAATTTTTGTTCTAATTAGTAGTGTTAAAATAGGTTTGGAATAATTTCATAGTCAGAATTGGAGACAAATGAACACACTTATTCTGTTAATACAAGTCCAATTACTGTGGCTCTATATTTTATTGTGTTAAGCATATTAACTGAAGAGTGACTTTCTTTAAGATTAAGGCATTGTAAAAGAGACAAGTGACATTTCACTATTCTTTTCACTTAAGCTATTGAGAACACACCTGAGAATTAAGAAGTAAAAGTCAAGGAGGAAAAAGAAAGGGCTGAGCAAAGAAAAATCTTAATAATTTATGTGTAGTACCTGGGTTACTAGACATGCCAAAATTCGGGAAATTTCTTGGTGAGGAGCCAGCATGCAATATGCATCTGTCACTTGTGGTTGGATACTCTTAAATGAAACCCATTATACCAAATTGTAAGATTGGGTGTATTTAAACCCATTTTAATAAAATATATTTTGAGTCTTCCTCATTTAATGCATTTCTATGTTAGTGTCATCTTGAGTGGCTCTTTAATTTTTGACTTAAAGTCCAGTCAATTGGACACAGTGAATCCAAGCAACGTTTTTTTGTGAACCATGTAGAGATTCACGTTCAGTGTGTAGTTCATGTAAGTGCATTCACCAGTTATAGGATATGTGACATGTCCTTATTTTTGTTTTATCATTAATCTCTCTTTCTGCAAAACCTGTGGCCTTAGATAGCTAGAAATGATCTTATACTCTTTTTATTTTTGGTTGCTTTTAAGTTGTCATCTTAATGGTTTTCATGGCTACTCTTACTTGTCTTGTTCTCTGTTTCTGGGAAAATAATGTGTTTGGATACTTGCAGTTTCCAGGGGATCCTTAGCATACTTTCCTCATTTACTAATATGCCATGTTTCTGCTGTACTTATTACTACACCTTTCAGTTCCCTCTCTCTAGAATGAAATGTTCATTTTCTTACTACTACTAATGAATTGCTAGTTAGGAATACTGTAATATTTGTTTTAATTTATTTTATTCCTCATCTTTTCAGAAGAGATATGGTAGGGTTGATCCTCAGCACCACATAAAAATTATATATAAAGATATTGTATATATAAACAAATATTTTTTTAAAAGGGCTGGGGGGTGTAGCTCTGTGGTAGAGTGCACTACTACTGCAAAAACAAAACAAAATTCCTAAAAAACCCTAAAAACAACAAAAATCTGAAGCATATTTTTAATATTTTCCAAATTAATGATAGTATAATTTCATATTTTTTTGATATTTCACATCTTATAATATAAAACCTTGGTGATACATTTCCATTTTCCTTTATGTGATATCTATCATATCATTTGTACTTCATAAACTTTTTTTATTTCATTAAATATTAAATATTTGGGGATATATCTTTCAAGATTTGACATTTGAAAAGATATTTTATAATTAAGAATAGATGTATATATATATGTATGCATATGCATTTATATTAATAGTTCTTGGCCATTATTAATAAAGAACATATATATTGCATTTATATGTGTCTATATTTTTTATATTATGCAATGATATTTAGACAGTCATTTTCACTGAAAATATTTCATTCATGCAGACTGGTTTCAATGTTTTGTAAAGTTTTGATACTAATTAAACGATGGTTTTATTTAAATTTTTCTATTTTTCACACATTTACCTGTGTTCAAGTTTTGTGATGAATGTCTAAGACAATATATTATGACATGAGAATAAAGAAAATTTCATATTATAAAATATGTGAAAGGTTGTTTCTGTAATAATCAGCATACTGGACATCTCCAACTTCTGCAATTTTTTGAATAGAGTTCAGAAATTAACTCATGATATTACCCACTAATGTTAGGTAATTTTGCATTGCAATAAATCCTCTATTCCCCTTCAAATTGGAAAACTGGTGTCAAAGCAGGGTATTATTAAGAAGGAAACTAAGTGGAGATACATTTATTCATTATGTATTTTATTTCAGATTATTTAAAAACATTAAACAATGTCTTCATATGCTCTATACATAAAGATGAATGTTGATAAACATAGGTAAATGTGAATGTATGTTGAATGTTAGAAAAAGAACATCTAAAAATTTCTTATACTGGATTTGCCTTCAGTTATAGCCATTACATCCTCATTTATAATTGTTCTACTGAATAAAATACAAACAAGAAATGCATCCCAATTTGTTTTATTTACCTAATTTGAAGTACACCATGCTTGCATTTCTTTTTAGAGTTCAAGCTCAACTCTGAATATCCTATTCCCACTTTCGGTAACACCCTTGAGCATCCACAGTTGTGATTATCGATTTGGGTTTTGAAAGCTGCAACTTAATGGACACATATTAAGAGATATTCCAGGTGATATATATTAAGCCCAACAATCTCTAGTGTGGCATGCTCCCAAAGTTTTTTTTTATACTATTCTTTTGAAAACTATCAGAGGTTTGTAATGCATGTGCTTAGGATGTATTACAAAAATCTTCAAAGCCCAAGTTGATATTTTGTGATTAGGCTAAGCAAAAATGAAAGGTGGGGGAGGAGGCTAAGAATTACAGTTTGATAAAAAATTCCTAACACCTTTTTGCTTTAAAAATCACAAAATATCATTTAATATAAATTTGTTTAGACAACTTTTTCACGCCATACTTGGGACTGTTGTGCTTGAATATATCCTTGCATTTGTCCTTTATTAATACAATTGGTCTATATTTGCTCATTTTTTTTGGCCAGAGGCTATGTGTGAATGTTTTAACTGCATGAATTCTTTTGTGATCTTTGATTAGTATGTTTAGTCAAAACCACAGCATTTATTTGAGTTGTTAGCAATTAGTATTTTAGTTGTTGTTGTTGTTGTAGAAGTAATCATTAATTTTTTAATGTGAATATCAAAATCGGGGCATGGAAGGAAAGTGCAGTGAATGCAGTGAGGATCTTTTATTTTTAAATAGAAAATATTTGTTACATTTACTTTCTTTCAGGAAACCAACTGCCTTGGTCCATTTTTGAAATTGCTTATGTGTGTATAAATGAATAATTGTGTTATTCCCCTTATTTTCAAAATTTGCTGTTGTCAAACTTTTATTCATCTGCTAAGTTTTATGTTTATATACTAGGATCTAAAAGAAAAAGAGAACGATGAGCTTGATATTCAGTTGAAAGTATTTGATGAGAACAAAGAGGACGACCTAACTGAATTATCCCATCGTCTCAATGATATTCGAGCAGAAATGGAATATCCTTTGACAACCCCAAAATAATTTTGTGCATATCATGTAAAAGGGATTTGTGGGTAATTTGGGGGACCATTATTAGAGTTCTTTTCTGCCAGCCCAGATTGTATCCGTGTATTTACAATGGAATCTTGTTCTGATGTTGTCCTGGAGATTTATGCTGAGGAGCTGTGAGACTCTCTTGATGGTGTGTACAGACTACATTGAAATCTAGATAGTGGCTCAATGTATTATAGGGATATTCTGCTCACTAGTCTTGAATAGACAAGTATAACTTACATATAAGAATGAGGAAAAGTCCACAGAGTTCCTTTGTGACTATAGGTAATATGGTTTTTCAATTTATTAAATGGTACTCCAGTGAGAGATATCAGTCCATTAAAATAAATGTCTTATTCTCTATCTGATGTCTGTTTTCTTTAGTAGTAATAAAAATGTTTAGATACAATAGTAATTGACTCCATCAAGGCTATGTCATAGAAGGATCTGGGTCAAATATAGCTAGATTATAATCTTCCCTTGGCATGGACATGTGAAATGATTTTTGACACAAGACATGGTTGTCATAGCACTGTTGGCCATTTGCTTCACATCCATTGAATTTCTTACTCATAGATTCTGGGAAGTTGGGAAATCTTCAGAACCATAGTGACCTTTGAGCTGGACTTTTTCCCAGTGATATGTTCTCTTCCCTGTAAAAAAAAAAAACTGTAGTTATATTCCCTTCCTTGACATTCCCAGAGTACTTTGTTTGTTCTGTCTTATTTATGTACACTTCTCTGCTCCTGTGAGATTGAGGGCAGAAATGTTATGTTTCATTTTTTCCTCCAGTGCACCTATCGAAGTCATATAAAGATAAGTGTGTATGTAATGAATAAAAAATTTATTATTATGAGGAATAAGTTCTAATCCAAGTTTTAGTGATATATGTCTGCACTAGCTTTTCTAATATTAAATGCTTTTTATATCAATTAATAAATATCTTGCTTTTTATAGATTTCCCTTATAACCAAATGTCACTGTATAGCTATTGTTGGATTCATTCTGTAGCCATTTAAGGGACCTTATGATACTTTAACACAAACCTCTTACATGGGTCTAAGAAGTAATCCATCATATACTTAATTCTACTTCAGAGAAAATGTTGACATTTCAAGTTATTTTTAGGGTGTTGGATTACATCTTGTCTTTTACCTTTATTTTCAATCGATTTTCTAGGTCTTCACTTTTGTTATGAAACTGAATTCATTTTTGAATTGTTTTCTCCTCCACTAAAAGCACCTGCACTTCTACTTTATTCCTAAGAAAAATATATTTTAACCTCCTTTGTCTTTACTCTCCCAACTTCTTTCAAACCGTGAACAACAAATGAATACAAATAATAATTTCATATTTAGTATTTTATCTAGGTAAAATAAAACTGCTTTTTTGATCTTTTAGTAGTTTAAAAGCATGCTCATTTGCCTTCTATCTTATATGGCATTGAAAATACAGTAGTAGTGGTTTGTACGGATAATGTAGGCCCACTTTGAAAACCACAGGGACATCAAGATAAAACCATTTTCATTGATGGTATTGCTGTTCTAATGGTACCAGCTATAATCTGTACTTCAAAATATAATGAATGAATTATTACTCAAGCTTTTGACAGCCAAGTGGTCTTGGAAATGCTCTTTAGGTCTGATTTTCTGGTTAAAAGACTAAAATTATTCCATAGAATCATTTTCTTTACATAAATGTTTAAATACTGGATCATGGTGTTGAAGGTTTAGAAACAGTAATAGAAGTAAAATGGTAAACGTAGTTTTTAAAAAATTAAGTTGCTTTTGTTATGAGTGAAAATTTCATCAAGAATCTTTGATATTTTTTCCTTTACTTACTTTTTTACTGATATGAATGAAGTATATCACCTTCTATATAATATGTTGAAAGATACTGCAGCTGAAAATTACTTATTATCCATTCTGCAACACTTTTTGCTCATCAGAAATGATTATTATATCAGGTAAGAGGCACTTCTAAGAGTAGCATATTTATAATTTGAAATGGATGTCAAAGGAATAGAACCTAGGCAATATATACATATGTACATAGATAGGATATAGGAACTTGACTAGGTTACATTTTTTGTGGGGGGCACCAGGGATTGAACTCAGGGATACTCAACCACTAAGCCGCATCCCCACATCCCCACATCCCCAGCCCTATTTTGTATTTTATTTAGAGACAGACTCTCATGGAATTGCTTAGTGCCTTCCTTTTGCTGAGGCTGGCTTTGAACTCGGGATCCTCCTGCCTCAACCTCCTAAGCCACTGGGATTACAGGCATGTGCCATTGCCACTGGCAGTAACATTTTTAAAAATGTATTTAAAATGAGCCAGAAGAGAGATGTACTTATAAAAATGGCGTATCCCAGGAATAGGACTGTTAGTAGCAATGAACCCAATCGAAACTACTGACTCTGATGAATTTCCTTTGCTAGATAATGGTAACACAGAGAGGTAAGACCAAAGATTCTAGGACATTTAAAAATCCTGAACATTTTAATAAGATTTTATGATTATTTCTCTTTTATAGCCTTTATAGAGTAATAAATATAATTTAACACCTTTAGAAAATATGTATGCAGGGGCTAGGGATAAAGCTCAGTTTGCAGAGTGGTTGCCTCACCTGCACAGAGTTCTGGGTTCAATCCCCAGCATCACACACACACCCACACCAAAAAAAAAAAAAAAGCAAATATTTCACTTTTATGTCCACTGATATAATTTTTCTAAATGAGTCTGATAATAACCCATGAAGTTAAAAGTTTTAGAATTTGGTAACAGGGAATGTGTATGCAAATCAAAGTTATAAAATGGTTTCTGAATGATGGAAATTATTTATTGTCTACTGACTTTGATCTTATATTTAGCTGTTAATTGTCTTCATATTTTAATTTGCATAAAATTTTGACCACCTACATTTTCTGATTTTCAAAAAATGCTTGATTAAGGGGAAAACGAAGGCGACCATGAAGTAAGGTTTGGTTGCAACAAAAATGATGGTTTTAAAGCAATATGGAGAACGTTATAGATCAGTACAGATCAATAATTTGATAGATATCACAGCATTACAGAAACATAGAAAAAATGTTAAAATATTAAATTATATGCTCTTTTTAAGCAGGAGAGATGCTACTGCGTTAACAATGATTTATTGTTTTCTATATTAAATTATGACAGTTAAAGAGATATTGTGCTCTGAGGTGACCAGTTACCTGGGGTAACCATTCATATAAAACTATTTATTTCTCAGTAAGTATAATAAATGACAAGTTGCCCACACATGGTTTCCTTTTCATACTGAGAATATCTCTTTGAGGTAGATGTGTAACAAATACTTTTATTCCACTTGAGATTATTAACCTGGTTTCCCAGAGAACAATTATATTTGCCTTATTTACTCAGAGTTGTCAACTAGACTCGGATCATGATCCAGTATTATTTACCATATATCAAATAATGACTTTGGGGGAAAAAGCTCCAGATATATAATGTATAGTAGTTCTTAATCTTATGACCAGCCTCATAACTAAGGACAGAGAAAAAACAAATAGAATCTGTTTGAGTTCATTTTCAAATTTTTTTAGTGGGTTGAGAAGCATTTATTTAGGAATGTTTATGTCATGATTTGTCTATAGTAATACTTATTACTGATTTTCTCTGCTGAGTTTATTAGCCTCTCCAAAATTCTAAATCTTCTTAAAATTTTAATGCAAAAATTGCCTTTTTTATTTTGTAGTATGAATGTCATCTTTTTTTAAGGCCAAAATTACCTTGATAGATTACAGAATCACCAGATGTTTTAAAACCTTTGACACTTTAAACAAATTGGGACTACAGCCATGCATATTAAGTGCACATGCTTTTATGAAATGGATCTTTTAAAATATGTTATACAAAAAAATCTTTGAAATAGTTTGAAACATCAGTGGCTCAGTACAGTTTTATAAACTGTTGCACATATCTTAAGGAAAAGTACTGTAGTAAATTTAAGATGTTGCTTGCCCCCTAATACCAAGAAACTCATCACTTATTGAAATTTAGAACTTGTGCATGCCTACAGTCATTTCTGTGTCCATGGATATAGAATAAAAGGGGTCATCTTTTTCATTAACTTTAGAAACAGTAGTTCAAGCCAACAGATAATGTTTTTAAGTATCTTTGAACACAAGCGTGAATCTCTGCAGACTAGAAGATTAAGTCACCAAGTATTTCCATTTGATTATATCACAATGGGTTTGGCACTATAACATCCAGAGCATCTTTCTTTAAGCTTTGGCATATTTTTTCCAAAGGTAGTGTACTGGTTAGAGGGCTTTCTTTCTTTTTTTTAAATAGCTCTAATAAAAGACAATTCTTTGGACACACTAATTCTTTTCTTAAGAAAATTTATTTGTACAAGTAGAAAATAATTATTCACATATACTTTCTCTCTTTTTCAGGCCACAGTATTATAAAATAATTGAGGAGTGTGTTTCTCAGATAGTGTTGCACTGCAGTGGCATGGACCCAGACTTTAAGTACAGGCAAAGATTAGACATTGATTTTACTCATCTGATAGGTATGGAATATAATCTTCACTGTCCTATGTGCTTTATATCTTCTATATAATGGTACTTTTTAAAAGTAGGTCTCTCATTGAATAACTTCTGTTACCATCTGGTATATCATTATGTCTGTAAGTATCTTATTGCTGTAATTATTAATTATGATGATCATGGAAGTTCTGCCTGTGTGATTAGATCTGTTAACCTATTTGTTAAGTACCAATAGTACTGAACTCAGTTTTAACTCATTGTCCCACAAAAAGGCATTTTATTATAGATGAATGCCTTGCTTTTTAGAAGCATGAAATATTTTAATTTAATATTTTAAATATTTTAATTCAATATTTTAAATATATTAATTCAATTTATACTGGTGTCTTTGAAATCATGTGTATAATGGGATATCCTTAGTATTGCTAAAGCTTAAGAGATAAAATACTCACTTATTTCTGCAACTTAAGACCTTTTTAGGCTATCAAATAACTCAGTTTGTATTTTCATAGACATTAGAGTTACCAAAAATTCTGAGGTCATTATGTACATGTCTTTGGATTGCTGAGGAAATAACCTTATATCATCCTAGACTGCTATTTATCAGTGCTTTGTAGAATAATCTCAGAAGGATCATGTGAAACTTCCCTCATGAAATATGCTATGATATATGACTTTACAGTTGAGCAGTTTTATTTATACCTAATTGAAATCACTATTGCTTAGGTTCAAGCACAAACTCACTTCTAAACAACAGCTGTTGAATGCCAAATATCTATTATTTTTCACTCCATAGCACAGGGCAGAGTTGTTGGAATGTTCAAACATGTATAACTTAATATTACCATGTATTCTTTTCTGTTTTGAAATGCAATCCACACTTATTGTAGGAATCTTGAGTCACAATTCACATTACAATTAGTCCCTTTTCAGTTCTGTACATTTCCTTTTGTCTGTTTATCTATGTGCTTGCCTTTCTGCCTGTTCGTCTGCCTGTCTATATGCTGATTTTTCATGGAACATTATATGATGATTTTTTTTTATGTTAACTTTCAAAATGTGACTTTTAATGTCTGTATAGTATTCCGTTGTATCAAGTATCATGATTATTTTAATGAGTTCTTACGTATTGTATATCTAGATGGTTTTCACCTGAATTATAAATGAATCTTCACCAGCATTCTTGTTTAAAAATGTTTGACTTTTTCTCGTTATTTTCTTAGGATTGATTGCTGTAAGCACAGGCTTGAATTTTCAAAGCCAAATGATTTTCAGAAAGCTTGTGTTATTTGCCTTTGTCCTAGCAATGAATGTGAATGCTGGCCTTAGTTCATATTTTTCACTGAGTTTGATAAACTTAGTTTATTTCACATTTTGTTGAGCAAGTCATAAGGGACTATTTCCAAATCCATGTGTTGGCTTATAATCCATTAGGGTCCCTAGTTGGCACACATAATCTATTGCTGATTTTGGATAGCTGTTTTACTGTTCAACAGATATTTGTTTTGTGTGCTGTGTGCCAGGTGCTTACAATTGTATAATGTTTATGAAAAGAATTGAGGATGACAAATGAAAGGATCAATTGAGAGAGGATAATCAGCATCATAAACCCATTATGACCTCATCCACATATCATCACTGTAATTGTGAACAGATCTTTAACTTCTTTAAGTTCCAGCTGCCTCAGTTCTAAAACAGGCAAATCAAATATTTAGGTAGCTCTTGGTTAAAGTCCTTTTTGAAAAGCTGATGAATCCCATGAACCTTTAATTAGAACACATATACACACACACAAATACACGCAAAATTATCAAGTGCTTCAAGAACTCCTGGGAATTCTAATAATTTCTTTTTTAAAATTACTTAGACTGAGGTTGCTAAGATTTCTTAATTCTGTAAGTCTAGTATCTTTCACAAATTGGATCAGATTGGATCCTTGTGTAAAAATCTCCTGTGTTAGTTTACCTCAGCATTTCTGTGACCAAAATACCTGACAAATATAACTTAGAGGAGAAAAAGTTTGTTTTGGCTTCTGGTTTTAGAGCGTTATTCCATGGTGTCTCATCTCATTTCTCTACACTCCAGTGTGAGGCAGTACATTATGAGGGAAGGGCCCAGAATAGGAAAGAAAGTTGTTCCTCTTTTGCCAGATCAAAAGGTGGTGGGGAGGCCAAGGAGTGCAGTGAAGGAGCCATTGGGAAGATGCATGTTTCCAGTGCAGGACCCCATTGACCCATCTCCTCCAGCTATGTCCCACCTGCCTCTGATTACCACCCAGTTAGTTCATCCAAACTAGGATGGCCTGATTAGGTTACATCTCTCATAATATATAATCATTTTACCTCTGAACAGTCTGAACATTCTTCTATTATTAACATTCTTCTATATATTCTTCTATATAACATTCTTCTATTATTAACATTCTTCTATATAACATTCTTCTATTATTACCTATTAAGGTAGAAGTATTAACATAGTTTGGAGTTGGGGAGCCTCATATCCAAACGATAACATCTCCAATGCCTTCCTATTCAAATTTAAAGTCAAAATCATTTCCAAGTATGGCTAACACAGCATGGGTGTGGCCTTCCCCTTTGACCTAAGAACCTAGTGCTTTTCTTCTTTGTTGCTTTGCTCCAAACACACATTTAAAAAAGAAAGAAAGAAAGAAAAACTGTATTGAGATAAATGTGACATAATAAAAAATACCTATATTCTAAGTATTCAATCTGACAAATATTGAGACATATATACTTAAAATCATCAGAAAATCAAGATAATAAACATCACTATTGCTCATTAATGTTTCTGCATACTTTTAATCCCTCCTTTTGCCTTCTACCTGTCCTTATTCTAAGAAAACCACTGATCTCTCTTTACTTTCTCTTACTAGTTTCATTTTCTAAAGTTTTAAAAATTTTGAAAATTTGTTCATCTTCTAATATTTTTATATAAATAGAAGCACATAGCATGTACTCTTTGATTCAATATAATTATTTTAAGATTTATCCTAATGTTGTATTGCATGTATCAATAGTTCATTCTTTTTTATCACTGAGTACTATTCCAGAATATGGATATATGAAAATTTATTTGTACATATATTTGTTGATGATCATTTAGTTTCCAGTTTTTATCTATTATAAATAAATCTGTTATGAACATTCATATAAAAGTCTGGGTACAGACATATTTTCATTTTTGGGGATGGGATTGAATACATAGATGTGGAATGGCTAGGTATTATAGACTTTTTATGTAATTATGAAAGATACAATTTTTCCCCAAAGAAATACGTCCATTACTTATAGCTTGAAGTACTTGATTGGACCTGAGAAGTTTTAAGTTTGTTTCCCTATGTTCATGGCACATTTTGTACCATATTAAAAGTTATTTTAAATTGTTCACTGGAAAGCATGAAGTAATGAATGTGACTCTTGTCTCCCCCCTTCAGCATTTTTTGAAGAATCATCTTGAGTCTTTATGATCTTAAATTTGAGATCTTTGCCACCTGTTCACCCAAAGTCAAATACAAATTTTTTAACAATTCTATAATTGTATAAGTTGAAACATAATTAAATATCTTTATAACAATGATAAGTTAGTCAGATATATTTATAGATGCTTGGTTTTGTGCTTTAGAATGCCATCATTCAATTCAGTTAGTTTGTCCAAGAAAAATGTCATGTTTGTTTGATATATGGTATAGGTTAGTTTCTCTTTAATAGCAACTGGCATAGAAATGATAGTGTGGGGTTCGTGTTGTAACTCAGTGGAAGGGTGCTTGCTTAGCATGTGTGAGGCATTGGGTTTGATTCTTAGCACCATGTATAAATAAATAAATAAAATAAAGATCCATCGACAACAAAAAATATTAAAATGAAATGATAGTGTGCATAGAATTATAGGCTGGCAGCTACCTTTGGGCTAGAGATCTCATGTTATAATTTCTAATTATTTCTGATAAATCTTACTAGATTCTTGTGTGAACAAGGCAAAAGTTGAAGAAAGTGAACAAAAAGCAATGGAATTTTCAAAGAAGGTAAGGCTTATAAAATATTAGCCTAATTGTCAAATTAATCAGCATTTTGTCTACTTTGTTTCTTTATATGAAATCTGATAACTTTTGTTTCAGTTTTATAGTACTTTATATCTCAGGATTCAAATGAAACAACAGAATATTGATTTATTTCCTGATAGGGTAAGGTCATTACTCTTCCCTTCTCATCACCTTGAAAACACTATCCATATTATACTAAAGTGATAAGAAAAATTCAGCTGATGAAAGCACATATTTAGAAACATTCAACCAAAATAAAATGTCTCATTGCTTTCCTGTATCTCTTACTTAAAATAGGTATCATTTTGGCTAACTAGGAGATATTTTACTGGTCTTTAAAGCTACTGTCTTTAAGTCAGTGTTGTTGATAGCAATAGAAAGTTGTAGTATTCTCTTTCTCTGTCTCTTCTTAGACTTAGCTTCTTTAATTTTGTAATTGCCACTTGTTAAAGGATGCTGCTACTTCATGGAGTCTTGCTGGAATCTCACAGTGCCCTTTCTTTCTGTGCTAATGCCTTATGTAAATGTCTTTGAATATTGCCAAAATTATGAACATCTTAATTTTATTTAGACCTAAGATTACCTTTTCATTGTTTCCTATAAGCATAGTTACCATTTAATTAATTTCTACCAAGTTTCTTCCTTCCTTTCTGCTTTCTTTCCCTCCTTCTTTTTGTTCTAGATCCTTTTAAGAGTTGGTGTAGTGTTTCTTTCTTGTTGGGTGCAGGGAAGACCAAAGCACAAGTCTAAAAGCTCTCCAGTTTTCTGCCTTCTGACAGCAAGATAAAGTGCTTACATATTGCTGTCTCTCCAAAGTTATGACTTACCTTGAAGATTAGATAATCACTTTTGCTATCACTCTAGAAATTATAGAGTTACTTCAGGGCATCTGAAGAAATGTCTTTGCTCTTTCAGTTACTAGAATAGATTTTTAAGAGCTTGAGCATAAAATGTTTGTGTGAAGCTGTCATTTTTATTGGCGAATGAAAATGTGTGCTTTTTGATTAATAGACCTTTATATTTCTGATGTTCTTGTTTTAAGTAGCACACTTTAAATTCCTTTTGAAAATCTTAGAATCTCCTTAGTTTTTGGCTGGTATTGTGATTAGACATCATGAGAAAAGTAAATTTTGATTATCTTTCTAGTGAAGCTTTCTATATGCACATAATATGGGGAAAGGGGTCCTGAAATTATGGAAATTTTAGTGTTTGATGCTTTAGTCTCATTGCCAACATTTAGAATAGGAAGGTGTGGAGATAACCCATTGGTTATCTACATGCATTCTTTTGTTCTGGTTCATCTTGAGAGACAATATAAAGCAGGTTTTTAAAAAAGTGTTTGAATGAGAGGCACTAATTGTAAGATCTGATTAACAGCTTTTCCACTAATTAGCTTTGACTTGAAACCACTTACTCTCTTTGGGTCTTAGTCTCTTCATCATTAAAAGGAGAGGATAAGATTAGTTGACTTGTAAGAAGACCTCTTTCAGCTCACATATTTCAGTCTTCTGCGATTCCTTTAAAAATAAAAGTAGAGACATTGTGTGCCTCTTTTCAGATGTATTTATAAACAATTCAGAGGAAGAAGATGTGTACAGTGTGTTTGTGTAGATACATGTTTGGACCAGCTTCTATGGAGCACATAGGAGATGAGAGTATAGCTTCAGAGAAATCTTAACATGTATGATAGTGATGTCAAGCAAGCTCACATTCAAGAATCTCCATCTTCTTGGTGAACTGGGAAACAAGGTCATTGAAGGATCCTTCACCCTAGGTACCTGGAGTGCTTTTGAAATGTAAAGATAATAGAGATTTGGACCAGATTCTATGGGGCATTTTTCAGGCACTCAACTAGAGGTGGATAAAAGTATTACCAAATAATATTTCAGGTTTGATGTAAATATTATTATTATCCAGTCTGTCCAGCATTCTTTCTTTAGACTTAAGATCACAATGGCATTCTAGAATATCCAAAGATCAAATCTGCTATGAGGATGAATATTTATTACAGTGAACATACTTTTGTATTGTTCCACAAACTATAAAGACAGCTTTGGGCAGTAAAAGATATTATTTATAGAAACAGAAATAACATTGTTGGAATAATGTGTAGATCTATATAATGACTTCATGTGACATTGGCAATAAAAGGCAAATAAAATATTCTGTAGCCGGATGAAGGCAGTATGCACTATAAATTGTAGGCTGTTGTGGGCCGGCTTAAGAGTTCTGACTGAGGCACAGACTTGGGCAGGATGCAGCAAATTAATATTCACTATGTAGACAGTTTCTTTGGCTTAGTCTGTGTATCTTAACTTCTCATGTTTCCCTCTTGTAACATCTCATACAAGTATTTTGGTTAACCATTTGACCGAGAATGGTATATAACATATCATTCTACTATAAGATTTTGTATAGTACCACTTTTTGGATACTAGAAAATTAAGATTTGAGAGAAACATTCCAGATTGTATTCATGTACATTCATTTGTGGATTCTAAAAGTGCAATACATTTTCAAGATTAAATATATTTAAGGAGTTGAAATTCTTTGCTGGCATACTTTTAGATTCCATTTTCAAATTCACTAAACTTAATACTATGGGATGAAACAGTAATTATAAAATCAACATTTTAATAATAAAGCAAGAAATGTGTCCATTATACAGGAAGAGAGAATTCTCAGTTCAACCTTTTCTTTTGTATTTGTTTTTCAAAAGTGAAAATGGGTTTCCTTACCCCTCATGGGGAATATATTTCTTCTTTACTCTCCAAAGTTAGAGCCTCATCCTAACATGGATACTTAATTATCATGAAAATAAACAAGAGCTTTGATTTTCTAAGTGACCTAGAAATTCATATAGGAAAGAACACTCTAGTTATTTACTATATAATGTTTAAAGCTTTCTGAAAAATATATTATTAACTCTACATTTATGGTGGTGATCATTGCAGTTTGATGAAGAATTCACAGCTCGACAGGAAGCTCAAGCTGAGCTTCAAAAACGAGAAGAAAAAATTAAAGAACTTGAAACAGAAATCCAGCTACTTCGAATCCAGGTAATGAACAAGATATAGACTTTGTGTCATGTCACAGTGAGTTTCATGGTAGAAAATTATCTTGTAAGAAAGAAGGAAAACATGTAACTGGAAGTGGACTTTTTTTTTTTTTTGGCAGTTTCACATTTTAGTTGAAATAAACATACAGATTTTATTTTTGTGAACAATAAATCATTTTAGTATTTGGAAAAAATAAGGTATCAGATGCTGCAAGTGCCCTGCATATTTTAAACAAAATGTTATATGAGCAAAACTGTTTTTGAGATGAAATTTTCATGACTGAAAAATTACATGGTATTTTCTTTCCAAAAAAGTATGAAAATGCTCATTAATTTTAATTATCCCCAAAGATTCTTACAGTCTCTTTAATTCCAGATTATCATCATTTCAACCTGTACACTCAGAAAAACGAGAAATTATATCCCATCTGATTCAAATATAAAAAAACAAACAAACCTGTACACTTTACATTTCCACCTACATTCCTTAGGATGAAAACTTCCCATATGCACTTAAAGTCTTAATTAGGGTCTCTAAAGTTTTAGAATTGATTAAGTACTCTCTTTAACACACTTTATGTCTCAAATGAATATTAAGAAATTGAAGAACATGCCTTTAGTTAGTGAATGTTTGGTCAGTGTTGGTTGATTAACTGGACAAGGTCTGGTTTTATCCTTCTACTAAAAATATTTAAGTGAGTAGTAACCTGCAAAGTACCCAATGTGGTAACCTTTTTCTATCCATAATCTACATCACATATCCTTAATATTTGATCATTTCTTTTCACAGAATCATCTCTCTTCCCTCTGTACCATCTGACTTCCCTTTTGAAATGTCTGAGGACTGTTTTTCTTTAGTTTTTCATTCTCCAAATGGAGATATTCCTCAGTGTTCTGTCTTCTGTTATTTTTCTCTGTATATTCTTGTTCAAAATTCCATTCAACATCGTATATTCAAATATCACCTTTTATTAGGTGTCAGATCTTTTTTTGTTGTTATCATGCTTTAGGATTATGTTTTTTTTTAATGTTTATTTATTGTTTTAGTTATCGGCAGACACAACATCTTTGTTGGTATGTGGTGCTGAGGATCGAACCCGGGCCGCACGCATGCCAGACGAGCGCACTACCGCTTGAGCCACATCCCTAGCCCCAGGATTATGTTTTGATGCTGTTATTTTTTCTTTTGTAATTGGTGCATTATAGTTATATAGAATCATGGAATTCATTGATACACATTTGTGCACATAATATAATGGTATAAGTTGATCAGTTTTATTCCTAGTACCTCCCCTTTTCCTCTCCCCCTCCCTCCTCCTGGTCTCCTTTTGTCTGTTCTCATTACCTCCCTTCATGAAATCCCTCTCCTAACTTTATTTTCCTTCTTCCTCTCTTACTTCCATATATGATAGAAAATATACAACTCTTGACTTTCTGAGTTTGGTTTATTTTGTTATACATAATGCCCACAAGTTCTATTCATTTTTTTGAAAATAACATAATTTCATTTTTTATGACTTAATACAACTTGATTATGCATAGATACCACATTTTCTTTATCCATTTCTCCATTGATGGATATCTAGAATAGTTCCGTAATTTGGCTGTGGTGAATTGTACTGCTATAAACACTTATATGCATATAACACTATAGTATGCTGACTTTAATTCTTTTTTTAAAACATTTATTTTTTTAGAAGTATTTGGACACAATACCTTTATTTATTTTTTTTTAATTTTTATGTGGTGCTGAGGATCCATCCCAGGGCCTCACTCATGCTAGACAAGTGTTCTACTGCTGAGCCTCAATCCCAGCCCCCTGACTTTAATTCTTTAGGGTAAAAACAAAAGGGTGCTATAGCTGGGTCCTTTGGTGATTCCATTTCTAGTCTTTTGAGGAATCTCCTTACTGATTTCTATAGTAGTTTTATTAGTTTACAATCTTACCAACAGTGTGAAAGTGTTCCTTTTCCCCCATATCCTCTCTAGTATTTATTATTGTATGTATTCTTGATGGCCTCCATTCTAAATGGAGGGAGATGAAATGTCATTGTAGTTTTGATTTGCATTTCCCCGATTGCTAACTATGTTAAACCTTTTTAAAAATATATTGTTGGCCATTGTGTTTCCTCTTTTTTAGAAGTATCCATTTAATTCAGTTTCCTACTTATTGATTTTTTTTTGGTGTTATACTTTTTGAGTCAGGATATAAACCTTTTGTTGGAAGAGTAGCTAGCAAAGATTTTTCTCCCATTATGCTCTCTCATTATACCCTTAGTTGTCTCCTTTATTTCACAGAAGCTTTTTAATTTGATGCCATCCCATTTATTAATTCATTATGTTTTTTTCATGACCTTTATGAGTCTTTTTGAGGAACTTATTTGTGCTTATATGTTGGAGTATTGACCCTATATTTTCTTCTGTCAGGAAAACAGCTGTTTTTGGATCAAGTATATCTGAGCTGTAATTCATACAACTCTAATCACAAGTGATTTTTCTTTGGCCATGTTTTATAAATTCTCTAGCCTCAGTATTTTCTTCTTGGACAGGTTCATTCCCAGCAGTGTAAATCTAAGTCAGCATAACAGACCAAAGAACTGGAGTGAGAGAATACAGAACTTTGTGGGATATTTCCATCTACCAGGTAGTTCATTACAGTCAGGTTACTAAGACCAAAATGTTCCCAATTTCATTTAAATCTACATAGGAAATAGTTATGTAACAAAGACTTGGTTTTGCCAATGTGAATGTTAGCACTGGTACTGAAGTTCAAACACAAGGGTTCTCTGTTGGAGTTAAACATCTCCTTTAGCTTCAGATTTGGACCCTGACGTGGAATATTTCACTAGATCCTTCTTTCCTCTGCTGTTTCAAGAGGCAAAGCAAAGCTCTTGAAGCAATCATGAGCTAACTTATGCCTTAGGAGCCACTTTCTTCCAGACCAGTCAAGCAAGTCACTTGAGTTCTTTTTATATTTCCAGCTCTTGATTAGCAATCTTTATAGGAAGGTCCTGCTGCATATAGAAATCAGACCTAGTATCCATGATTTCTTCTTTTCCTCAAACTAGCTTGGTATCCATTTTATTTGTTTAAATTTTACCACCGTTTTTGAAGATAGTAAAGTGGGAGTTTTTTTTAACTTTGCCTTGTTCCACCTGTAGCAAAGTAACCTACTCACAGTTTTTTGTCAGTTTTTTTTTCTCTTTTCTTTTTTGCACCAAATCCCAGAACTGGTCAGATCCACTCTCAATATATCTTGCCTGGACTATTATAATTGTTTTCTAATTTTTCTCCCTTGTCTATATTTTATTCCTCCTCAAATTTATCCTTTATGTTAGTGGTAAATTAATCTTCCTGAAACACTGCCATGATTATTATCATTCCAGCTTTAGTATGTTCAGTGGTTGCCTGTTATCATCAGGATTAAATAAAATCTCCTTACCGGGAATTTTAAGCCCTTCTGGCATGGGCTCCCTTGTTCCCCTTTGTACTCTAGGCTCTGATTGCTCCCTTAAATATAGTCTCTTTTGTAGCTAAGTTAACTTTCCTTCCTTCATATTTGCAACTTCTTGTCTCCATACTTTTCTTCCTGCTATAATTTCTCAGATTTAGTTAGAGAGATGTTGATTTTTTAATCAGGAAAACATTTCATAGTCCACTAAATTGAGTACACATGAAATTGTCTCTTGGTAATTTACAATATTCATTAATATTAAACCATATAAGAAGTCCTACGCTGGAGAAACTGTATACCTCTTTTATATAATTTTCCTAGACAGGTTTGACTACAGAACTCTTAATGTCAGAACACATATTAACATCTCTTGGAAATATCACTTGCATAGAATTTACTTGAGAAATGCTGGTTTATGTTATACTCTTTCAGAAATCCCATACCTTGTTCATATGTGCATGTGAAACATATACTATAAAGGAGAAACTAAGTAAGGTGTCCTTTGGAAACCTTCAATACCTCTATCATGGAATTTCTCTGAAATTCCATATTACTATCTAAGTCTACTATTGTTTTATTTATTTATATGCCTTCTCTATTTATTCCATATGAGTGTAAGCACCTTTAGGATTTAAGCTCACCTAGCACAGGGCCTTATTACTTAGTAAGTATTTATTTACTGTTAACTATAAAATTTTGTTACACTGCACTTTCTAGTGTTCCCCAAATGGTTTAAAATATAAAATTATTAATTTAGTGTGTTAGGTCACAGTACTATATTGTAGCCTAAATTAATTGATCAATTCCTAATTGCTTATTAGAGGTAAGAAAATACTGATAATATTTGAATTTAAAGGTCTTTTAATTTTTTTAATTGAAATTGGGGGCATTTTACCACTGAGCTACATCCCCAACCCTTTTATTTATTTATTTATTTTTATTTTGAGACAGGGCTCACTATGTTGCATAGGGCCTTGCAAGTTTGCTGAGTCTGGATTTGAACTTGTGATGCTCCTGCCTCAGCCTTCCTAGCTGCTTGGATTATAGGTGCTTGCCAGTGAGCCTTTAATGTAAACACTGGAGATTCTTAATTAAAAATGTAAGATGTATATTTAACTTAAATGAATTGTTGATTTTTTTTTTTTTTTAATGGTGGTGCAGGGGATCAAACCCAGGGTCTTAAACATGATTGGCGATTCAGCCATACTGAGCTATGCCTCCTGCCTAAAATTCTATTTAAAATAATAACATTGTTGTGGTTATACAAGTTTTATAATAAACATATGACACAAAAATTTGATGTTTATACGTGTGTCTTATTTGCTATTTCTTCATTTTTAATTTTGCCATCCAATAAAAAATGGGCAACACATTTTGCATTTCAAAATATTTAAAAGTCTATTTATGCACAAACACTGTAGGAAAAATTACTATGATCCTGAATTTTTAATTTCCCCACAATTTCTTTGATCTCAGTCAAGACTGTGATTGTCACTTTTTTATGATTTTGCTAATTAAAAGTAAAATTAAAAGTGTTTTGCATATTCAAATCATGTGTGATTTTTCCTGACTTCAGGAGAGGATTTGATTCCCTGGGAAGATTCATTGCTAAGTACAGGAACACTTTATTAATATATATTCATATAAATACATAAACATTCATATATATGAATAAAATACTTGATCATTGTGCATTGAATATTATGGAAAACATTTCGCTGATCATACTGACCTATGGCTGTTAATTTTTAATATTTTTATGAATAGGAAAATCATCTAAATTGATTCTTCCAAAAATATGTTTTAAAGTGTGTTGTAAAGATATTTCTAAGTTTAATTAGTACAATTAATAGTCCAAGTAGAAAATGTATATTAATAAAGGTAAGAGGATTTTCTTCACAGATGAAAATAATACTATACCAAGAAATTTCATTAGTTTTAAACCTGTTGTTTGGTTAATCTAATGTCCTTTCTTTATTAAAGCAACGTATGTTCATTGATAGTTTTCTGTAAGAATATTTATAATGAACAGCTCCACTTTTATATTCGTTTTAGAAAGTGAATCATAGTTATCAGTAATGGGTTAAAGAAATAGTCACAGATTCATCATCAAACAAGAAGACAGTATGTAATGCAGTATCTCTTTCATCCATTAACCATTGTCATTAGCAAATACATTTGAGGTTACTTTCCCATAGTAGAAAAAAGTTATTCTTCTTTCATAATCCAGTCTGTGAATGAATTCTCCTCAAGCAGATGACACCCATTCATGAAAATATAGTCTGTTATTACTGGAAAGAAGACCACATTTGCTGTTAGAGGCATCACATTTAAATCCTAATCACCTTTCCAACTATGTAGCTTTTGTTCAATCATTTAACATTTTGCAGTTAGGGTTTCCTCCTCTGTAAGCAGTGAAATAAAAATGCCCTATCTATACTGCAAGGTCATAATAAAAATTAAAAAAAAAAGAAATAATAGCTGTAAACTGTTGATAAGCATATATTAGTATGCAAATTAATGCTCTTTAGTATTAATTATTGGTATTAGAAGACAGCTAAGTTCCTGGTGCTAAGAAAGAGACTCTTGTGTAATGCTAATTGGCCCCCAAGGGATTTGAATCTGTGACCTTGTATTAATTAGCCCCTAGTCAAACCAGCTAGTCTAACATGCCCAAACTATATACAGTACTTCTTCTTTGGATATATTTATGATGAAATATAGTTTTTCATTATTTTTGTAGAGTATTTCAAAAAATCTTGAATGATGCCAGCTTTTGTATCCTTGATGTATTAGCAGTACTAGTTGCTTTCCAGACTTTGTAATGCTTACCAAAGTGTACACAAGTCTTTTATATGTACTATTAAAGTATAAAATCTTAAGGCTTCAAAAAGGCATATGTAGGGGAAGTTTTGTTGTTCAGCGGTAGAGTGCTCGCCTCGCACATGCAAGACCTTGGGTTCGATCCTCAGCACCACATAAAAATAAATAAGTGAAATAAAGGTATTGTGTGCAACTCCAACTAAAAAATAAATATTTACAAAAAGGCATATGTAGTCTTTTTTTTTTCTTTCTTTTGTACCAGGAATTGAACCTGCGGGTGCTTAAATATTGAGTCACATCCATCCACAGCCCTTTTTTAAACATTTTATTTAGAGATAGTGCCGCTCTGTGTTGCTAAGGGCCTTACTAAGTTGCTCAGGTTCGCTTTGAACTTGATATCCTCTTGTCTTAGCCTACCAGGCTCCTGGGATTACAGGCATGTGCCACTATGCCCAGAAAGCATATATAATCTTAAACCACAAATGTCTACTATGTGTATACTTTCTGCTGTATTTTATTCTAAGGTTAAACTCATACCATTTATTTTTTAGGGCCATGGATCCTTGGGTTCATCAGGAACTCCAGGTCCTCCTCCACCACCTCCCTTGCCAGGTGTTGGCCCACCACCACCTCCACCACCTGCACCTCTACCTGGAGCTCCTCCTCCTCCACCTCCATTATCTGGATTTGAGGGTATTCCACCACCACCACCACCACCTTTATTTGGAGGACCTCCTGCACCACCACCCCTCGGAGGAATGTCTTCTCCCACAGGAGTGCCACTTGATCTACCTTATGGAATGAAGCAGAAGAAAATATATAAACCTGAAGTGTCCATGAAGAGAATCAATTGGTCAAAGGTAATTGTTTTAGACAACTTTTCGTCACCATTACCTAAAAATCTGATAAGAATGAGGAGGAGAAGTTTGATGCTCATGGTTTCAGAGGTCTTAGTCCATTGATGGCTGATTCCTTTGCTCTGGGCCCAAGGTAACATTATGGCAAAAGTGTGTGGAGTAGGATAGCAGTAAGGACATGGCAGATATGAAGCAGAGAAAGAACTCTGCTCAGTAGGGACAAAGTATAAATAGCAAAGGAAGACCCATGTGTTGCACTTCATCCCACCACACCCTAACTATCTATAGTTACTACCCAGTTAATCCTTGTCAGTTCATGAATCTACTCATATGGTTACAACTCACATATCTAATTCTTTCTCCTCCAAACAATTTTGCATCACCTCACATGTGAGCTTTTGGGGGCACATCTCATACCTAAAACATAACAGTAATACTGTAACTATAGAGATTTTTGTCTTTGTTTAGCCATGATTGACCATTAATGTGCTGAATTCATTAGTACATGTAAGTGTTGCATAAAGTTTGAGATGACTAATGACTTGTACTGCTTTCCTTTGTGAATTCACCATCTTATGTCCATCTTTCAGATTACTACCTAGATGAGTAGAACCCCCCCCCCCCCACACATAGTTTGAAATTATAAGGAAGGCAAAAGGAAAATTAAAAGTAGTATAGAGAATGCTATATGGAATATATCATCAAATGAAAAATAATTAAGATTTTTACCTCTGTTAACTTGAAGTAACCTTTCTTAAATAAAATCTCTTCTGTTATTGGGTTTTGTTTTTTTTTTAGTTATTTTTACTCAGAAAGTAATTATTTTTTGGTTTTAAACTTTCAGATAATGTGCAGTAGCTGACAATATTCAGTGGTGACATAACTTAAGTATTTTTGATATTGTATATGAAAATATTTTCTTCTGAATGTTATTTTGCTTTGCTATTATTATCAAATAATATGTTTTTTAAAAAATTATTATACAGATTGTCATAGTTCTCATTCATTGGAAATTAATCTTCTAATGAGAATATATTTACCCAGAAACATGTAAAGCTATATCTGAACCTGTGTGTATTAAGTTGTTTTAATTCAATTGATGATTCACTTGTTTTTAAAGATTAAGCTCAAAAGAGTATATTAATTATAAATGGTTTTAGTGTACAGTTATTTGTAATTAGTCACAGTCCACCAAAATATATGATTCAGAATTCGTTAGTTCAGTTTTCTGTGTATGTAAAAGTAATGATAGGTTTGTTAATTTAGTGTACACTGGAATGATACTTAATGTATCACCAAAGCATCAAAATGTACTGAAAATGCATAATTCTAATTTTGGATTTGTTGTAGTAAGATCACAATTCTACGGAACTATACTGCCTGGATTGAAAACCCAGCTGGGCCATTTACTAGCTTCAGCAGCTACTTAAACATTTCGGAGCTCAGTTTCCTTCTCTTTAACATGGAGATAATAATAGGTCCTGCCTTGAAGGACTATTGTGAGGATTAGATTAGTTAATATATGCAAATCACTTAAGACAGTAACTGACACATAGTAGGAAGTATGTGTAAGCTGTTATTATGGTTGTTGCCTTCAACTTAATAAAAGAACATGGAAAATTCAGTGGTTCTGAGTCTTACATTTCCTGTTTTCAAATAATTAGTGTATATAGAATGCATGTGAATTGAAGAAGGATTTACTAAATTATTTTAAGACTCTTTTCAGTAGAAGAATTTTTAAAATGTAATTTTCTATATGGCCTATTGTTGTGTATCTTTTCTGCATGCCAACAGAATTTTCAGAGTTTTGCAATGAATATTTACTCTATGTGTGTTGTTTTGATAGATCCTAAAATTGCTTTAGTGGTAGATGAATAAAAGAATTGCCATTCAACTCTGCTGAAAGTGAAGTCTTTGAAAAATTTAATATGAAATAATAACTTAGAAACTTATCTTTGCTATTTTTGCCTCAGATCGAGCCTAAAGAATTATCTGAGAACTGTTTCTGGTTAAAAGTAAAAGAAGAAAAGTTTGAAAATCCAGATCTCTTTGCAAAATTGGCACTGAATTTTGCTACCCATATAAAAGGTACATCTTTTAAAATATATAAATTTCTGATTCTGATGTATTGCAATTTAGTACCATGCCAAAGATTTTTAGAAATGTGTATATGTGAAATTTTTCCATACTGGATAGTGTCAAACAAATACATTAACAAATTAGCTATATATTATCCAGTAATGAAAAAAAGAAAAAAAACCTCTTTTTCCTTTGAATTTTATTTTGTATAAATGTTATTGTTCATCTGAAAATATAGGTTTTATCTTTTTGTGTTTAATATGTGTACTATCCCACATATTAAATTACAAAATTGTTAGTTTTCCTGAGGAACAGAGGAGACAAATTTGTTGATTCACCATGTAACGGAATGAATGAAAATAATAAAATAAAAAGTTTAACAGAATACTAATGTCTCAGAAGTTTTCACAAAATTGGGATAAGATGTTGCCTTGGGGCTTACGTAGTCTTTTTCTTTTCCATTTATATCACTAACCAAGTTGGTTTCTTAGGAAATATCATAGTTTTTGTTATGGGTAGGTTTTCTGGATTAATATAAAAATCTGATGCCCAATAAGTATGTTTACTTATTTGATAATAGAGTACATTATTTATGATTAGATCCTTAACCTCTTGTGTATTTCATACATATTTTTGATATTACTTTGTTAACTTCTCAATCTCATGATTAATTATTGTGGTTCATGATTTCAGGTAATTGTCATTTCTGTTTCATAGTTACTGCAGAATTGATAATTAAGAATAGAATTTTTCTGTCTGAAGGAGTCTTAACAGCTAAGAAATGGAAATATTCTGTACTCTTTTGCCCTTAGAATTAGCATTTTTGCCATCATTTGTCTGATTTGTCACACATGCCCTACAGTGTGAATTCTGGAAAATTTAGAGAGAGAAAGAGATGAAAATTATTTCTTTTTAGTTCTTTTAGCACATCTTGCACACTGGGAGTGCCCATGTTCTATTTATTGTTTCTTATAGATTGAATTTTATACATACTTGCATCTGCACATGCTTGCGCACACAGAGAAATCTGGGGTGGTTAGAGTATTCTGAAAATTTTTTACCTTAAAAAAATGTTTTGCCAGTAGTATGTTTTTTCCTTATTTATCATAATAGACTTCACATTTAAAAGGTTCTTCAGTGACTTCAGAAATAACTATTTATTATAGTCACTTCTTTAAATTGAAAAATTTCTTATAGCTAATTACTACACAATTCTTATGATAGTTATTAAAATAATATTTGTGGTTAAAAAAGAAAGAACTTTCCCTTTAATCAGATTTTTACCTTTCTTCCACAGAGAAAACCATTACTACTGAATTCCCACATTGTCTCCTAGAAATAATCTGTGCCTCTAGAAGCATATGATATTTATTATTTATTTTTTTTGATTCATGCTGTTTTCACTAAATGTACTTGTGGCTTATTTCATGTGAACTTGCATTTATTTACTGTGCTCTCTTTGCATACTGCATTGCTTTCTGTGGTATGGAACTATCTTAATTCATTTCAGCAGTCCCCTATTGATGGTTATTTAGACTGGTTCTAGTATTTTACTTTTTCAAAAAAGTGGTGTGGCAACTCAGTTTGCACATGTACTTTTGTGTACATACATGAGAATCTCTAAGATAAATTCTAGAAGTGGAATTTCCTGAAAAAAATGTTTTCTACATTTAAAATTTTTATATTATGAATTTTCCTGCCATGAAGTTTGTGTCTATTTATGCGATCATCAAGAATGTATTTGAATACAGGTTGAACATTCCTAATCTGATAAACTCTGAAAATTTTTGATTGCCAATATAATGTCACATGTAGAAAATTCAATGCCTGACCTCTGTGACAGTTTGCAGTCAAGACACAGGCACACTATAATTATTGAATAAAATTATCTCAGGCCACATGTATAAGGTATACGTGAGCCAAAAATGAATTTCTTGTTTAGACTTGGGTCTCCTCCTCAAGATATCTCATTATGTATATGTATTTCCTAATTTGAAAATAGAATCTGAAATCCAAAACACCTCTGGTCCCAAGCATTTTAGAAAAGGGATCTTATGCACATCTCCTTCTCTATAGCCATTGTCTATCTCAGAGGTGAAAATAGTAAGTCATGGATGTTATAATTTTTATTTTTTAAGTCAGAAGTGAGGTTGAACAGTTTTTATCCTGTTTATAGGCAATTTTTTACTTCTTTTTCTTTGAACTCCCTCCTCCATTTCTTTGTACATTTTCTATTGACCAGTTGCTGTTTTGCTTATTGATTTATTTGTATTGAGCATTATAAGAAACATAGGTTTCATAAAATTTTATTTAGCCTGGACCACACAACCAATTAAACACAGACTATTTTACTGATGAATAAACTCAAGTAAGAGACAGAGAAGTTAGTGTAAAAGTCAGTGTAGTAGAGAGTTTCCAAATGTAATGTGTTAAGAGTAGAAAAAGCCAGAGTATATAGAATCATATCTTCTCCCTTTCTGGCTTTGATACTTGTAATCTCAGTTACTAAATTTTATGATTCATAAAATAAATACACTGATGTTTACCTAGTAGTATTGTTAGAATTAAATAAAATTATATATTTAAAGTACCTAGCATAATGATTGCCATCAAGCATGCACTTAATAAAAATTAATTGGCTTCTCCCTCTCATTTACTTGATACTGTTTATACGTGTGTGTGTGTGTGTGTGTTATTATTGTTGTTTTGGCTATTGTCACTTAATACAACTGTTAATTCAACAGGAGATTGTCTTCCTCTTCTGTGTAGCATGTGCTAGAGCTAATCAGTTACAACAGAAGCAGTCTTTACGGCTGCTACCAAAACCTGATGAAACCAAAGTAAATCCAACACAAAAATCATATAAACGCTCTCAATTACTCACTGCTGTGAATGTTGCATTTTCATTCGTCTTAATTTAATTCTCTAAATTTTTTATGTTAACACTACTCCTAGTTTCCTTACTTTGAATATTTAAGTACAAATCAGGATGGGGCATCATCCCTTTCACCAAGAGTTATTTCTGAAGGGACATTTAAGGGATGAATTAACCATCATAGAATATTCTAGATATGCACAGCATAGCCAAAATAAATTTTAATGATAGAAAACTGCCATTTTTTTTGTAACACTCAATAACTATTGATTGGTCTTCCAGTAATATCTGAAGTCCCTTGTCACTTGCAGTGCCTGGATTCATAATTTGGTCAATGGGTGGCAGGCTCAGTAAGAAATCAGCAGGAGGTTCTGGCTCCAGCAAACTTAAATAGCACTGCCTTGGCTTCCCTAGCTCTAGGGCACCACTTTATTCCCCATTATGCTTCTCATTGCAGTTCATTCAGCTGTATTCTGGAATGAGCAACACAACCCTTGTTTCTAAGACCTATTTCTAAAGCTCTTAGACTCAGTGTTCCAAAACCTTTGAGAACATTCCTCTCTTGCAAGGGCATTGGAGAGTTCACATCTCTCTTCTTGCTAAATGCACTGTAAAGCATCACTAGTCTGTTTGCAAGAAAAAGTTAAAAATTTTATAGTATCTTACAATTGTTAAATAGAAGTTTTAAAATACACTAGTTCTGATATGTCTAATATTCAAATATTTAAATATTTAATATATGAAAGAACCATAAATTTTACTATTTGAATTATTTTTTAGAGTTTTAGAGAAAATTACTTTTAATATTCTGTTAAAGATAGATTGTTTCTGTTTTAGCAAAGAATGACTCTTTTATTTCATTTTAGTTTGTAGAGTACCTAATATGTGCAAATTACTAAGCAAAATAGGAAGGAAAAATAAATAAAATCTTCATTTACTAGGGTACCCATAGTCTACTGAGGGAGGTGGGAAGATGTACACTTCATTTAGTCAAATCATAATTTTTTAAAACTATAGGACCACAATAGAAATGGTTAATTTTGAGTAGGGACAATAGAGAACCCAGAGGTGGTATTCCTTGAGTTGGGCCTTAACAATTAAGTAGAAGTTCAACAGAGAAAGTAGAAGAAAAAGGCATTTTAGCTAGAGAATATCATGAACAAAGTCTTAAATTAAAAACTAAAGATGAATTAAATTTAGCAGAAATTATTTGAGCAAAGAATGATGTATTATACATCACTAAGAACCGGAAGAGGTTCAGAAAGCTCTACCTAGCATTGTGAGCAGTGATCTTTTATAGACCCAGCACTGAAACAAAGTAGAGAAATCAACTAATTGTCTATAGTTTTGCATTTGGCTTATTCAGGCATGGTCTTATCACTTGACTACCTGTGACTAGGTGAAACTTGGCTGTTTGTGATGGGTTGAAACTCACCTGTGTATTATAAAAAAATAAACTTCCAAATTAGGTTTTGGTTTCTTAAGTAGGAACTCCATGTTCAGAGACAACTCAGGCTTATGGTCTATCATTAATTTAACAGCATGGAAAAGAGAAGCACGTATTTTGTTGAAAGCTCTGGAGGGAGCTGGTTGAATTGGGGCTGTGGAGTGAAGGCTCTTGGGAGTAAAAGTAGTAAGGAGAAATTCACACTGAAGAATTTTGGTTTTATTTTTTAAGCATTAGAGGTACAATAATTTGATCATTTCCCCTAGACTAGACCTTTTTGGTGGATAGATAGGTGATGGAATTGACAGATAGGTAATGGACTGATGATTGTGAATAAATATTAGTAGGATAGATGAGATATGATATCCTGACTAGTGTGGATGTTTAATATTAATCTCTAAGATCTCTTCTAGTTTTAGAATCTCATATTTTTATGCTTATGACATTTAGGTTCTGCCTATAAAACCATCATGATGCCTTAAGACAAAATGCATATTGAAATCTGGATTAATGAAATATACATGTCTTTTCTATTTTTAGTGAAGTAATGGAAAGAAAAAAGAGAGTAAGGTGGGGGAAAGGAAGAGGGAGAAGGAGGGGAGACAGCTGGAGAAGACTCTATTAGTGATTAAGAATATGATTGTATGTGAAACTGTTGTAATGTGTATGTGTGCATGTTTTCTAGTT